CATCATTTTTGAGCAGTTAAAAAAAAAAGGCATTAAATTATAGAGTGGAAGTGCTTAAACACAGCTTTATTGGAAGGAATTTTCATGACAGTTTTGCTCTTTTATCAAGAGCTGGCAGACAGAGATTTAGCATGTTTTTATGATCCTGGTATGAAGTGGATTGTGGCTGATGTGACCATTTAAGGCCTGATCCAAACACTAACAAACTTGGCTGTTTACTGACACTCAGACATTTACATCTAGTCCTGCAAGAGTGGTCCCAGCAGCACTGGTTTGTTTTGGTGACCTAAACACCCAGAGCCAGCCAAGTGTCATTACTCTGGATGTAGGGAAACGTTTTATTGCAGGCCTGGCATCAGCACCTACTCCACCCTCTTTGCTCAGAGTACAGGGCATAGCCAGGGCAAAAGGAGGTAGAAAACTGTTTACAGGCACATGTCACTGGGAGTGCACCCAGATCTTGTTTTCTCAGCCCAAACCCAGCACAAAGCTCTATAACATAGAGGCAGGACACTGATTTGCAAAGCAAGACCTGAGGTCTTGGTTCCTGGTCCATCACCTACCCTGTGACTTCAGTCAAATTATCTGTTCTCCCTCTGCCTCAAAAAAATTTATCTATTTCAAGCTCCTTCAGAGGCTGAGGACAGGGAAGGAAGGATCCAGCTCATGGTTTATTCATATGACCCAGAGGTCCAGGGTTCCTCCCACACTGTGACCAACATCAGTGAGATGTATTAGTGCTGCTTTCCAGATTTGTCTGCAAAGCCCAATATCATTAAGAAAGCAATACCCAGCTTCTGCTCTAGGTGATAAGCTCCCCAGGTAATGAATACTTCCCTCAATATGTGCCATTCCCTGTGCATCACAGAGCTCTGACATTCACTTGGCTTTCCGGGGACTATTGTGAAGAGCAAGAACAGCCCCAGAACTCCTTTGATTTGTTCTAGATACTAAACTGCCTCATCTGCTACCACCTCTTCTGTGACCAGTCTGACTTAAGGACATCATAACCCAGAGCACAGGGACACTTTTATTCAACAATAAAACCCAACCAACCAACCAACCAACCAAATTCTCTTCTGCCTTTACTTTTTCCAATCTGTTCACATTTTTCTGTCACTACTCTTAAGCAACTGTTCCTTGTCTGGGGTAGTTCTAAGATCCAGGCTGCAAAAAACATCCTGCCTGAATAGGCTTTATTGCCTCAAAGCAAATAGTCATGATCTGGGCAACAGCAAAGGCCCTTGTTCCCCTAACTATGAAACCCTACAGCTGACCCCTTGGAGAAAGCTGTCCAAAAGGGAAGAAGACTTTCACTCCAGACAAGCAGAGACCAGGCAGACAGCTGGCCAAGGAAAAAGATACTTAAAATATTCTGTAGTATGCAAGGGAATTAACTCCTTAGTGCTGACTGGCAGTACTTAGAGGGCTCCCATCCCTCCTTCCATGCTCTGGTGATGAGACAGCAATCTGTTTTTTCAGTCAACACAGTTGAGATGTTTCTGCTTTGCGGTCCCCACTCCAGAGCAGAGTCAGAGTCAGCTGCTCTGAGATGAGGAAATTGCCCGTACTTTCACCCTACAGCTGGAGAAGGAAGTAGTAACAGCTTCAGCTAGTGGCATTCCTAACAGGAGTGCTCCACTGCAGTTTGGAAACGTAGCCTGAAGTCAGCTAAATAAGTTAGAACAAGTTTTAAAGACTCTAATCAGTACATCGCTGTATCAGGTGTGGACCTGAGGCTCTCCAAAAGGAGCAGACTCCCATTGCCCCTCCACCACCACCAGCTTCTAATGAGATTCTGTGAACTACTCCCAGCATCACAGTATATAGTCATGGATCACAGGAATTAATTCATGGAACTCATATTCTTGGAAGCACATACTCAAAACAAGCTTTGGCATTTCCCCTACTCCACCATTCAAAGTTTCCTTCCATATGTTAAACATAGGCAGAACTCCCAGTTAGAGATCTCAATTTTACTGGAAACCTCCAAGTTTGTTTTCCAAATTAGAGAAGTTTCCTGTTTCAACAATTAAGTTACCATCTCAGGAGAATGCCTGCTGGAGTCAAAAAATCATCCTACTTCGATAAAATTGAGAAGACTTGCTCAAACAATGTTTTGAAGCTTGATAATACTGTAACTCAACACATTTCCGATGAAATATTCTGAAAGGAAATCCTTCATCTTCCTTCATGTTTATATGACAGAGCTACACCAATACCAGCATTTTACCATGAGAGTTTTGGATTTGTTTGTTAGGACTAGAATGACCTAAAGGTTCACTCACATAAGCAGTTCCCACTCAGTAAACTGTTGGCACTATGCTCATGGATAGTAACAGCTCCTGCAACTGATGCTGTTCCATGTGGAACCAGGGAATCTGTCGTAAAATATATTTGCCAGGGAGCAGGAACAAAACCCACCCCCAGGACAGTCCTTCAAATAACTGTGTTCAAAGAAGTGATGGCAGATACCTGTGTTTTACTCCTGTATTTATCATTAAACACTTCCAAGAGGTGAATCTCAAACATATGGAAAGGAATTAATTGCACTGATAAATTTCCAGTGAGTGGAATTTATGTTAGTTCTAAAGGAGCAACCCAGTGCAGAAAAAGTAGTCTTGACATTCTACTTGCATAATCAGCAAATAAGCCAGAAAGAACAAAGCAAAAAACTAAAGGACTGGGCAAGAGAAGAGAAATACACAGATTTAGGGGCAGCAATATCAAGATTGAGATGACTCAAAAAGTGGAGGGAAAATGAGGAATACTGGGCCACACACTCCAGCCTTTTCTGCTTGTGCTGTTGATGTGGTGCAAGGACAAAGCATTTTGGTCACTGCCTGGAAAATGAGAAATCCACTGCCAGAGGCAGCAGTAGGGAGCAGGGATAATGTGGTGGATGACTATGGCCCAATCTCCTAATTACCTACCAGCAGGGGGGTTTTACAGTTTGCCATCACTGCAGAAATAGCACAAGCTCTAACTGGGTTATTTTAGTCAACTACTGTCTGCACTCACCATACCCCAAACTGACTCTCAGCACATACTGCATTTTCAGCTAGTTAAAAAAAAAGGACTAATAATTACTTCTATCCAACTTGTAACCTCCCCAACCTGGGAGCTAAACACAGCTTTCAATAGCATGGAGCTGATAACTCACAGCAACACCCTTGGCAGCAGGGAAGAGATTCATTTTACACCAGAGGAGAACTGCAGGGTGAAGCCAGCTGCAGGGTAAGAGTTTGGGATTGGCTGTGGTGTGATCAGAGTACAACAGAACATTTCAGTTGGAGTGGATGAAACTCAATATGACAACAGTTCACTTCTTGAGCCCTCAACAGCCTTGCCGGAGCAGTACAAGTCAGGAGCAAAACAGGGGGAGGTCATAAGTCCCCAGGAGGGATCCTACACCTTTGTGATAAACAGGAGGTATCAGAGTTGGTGATTTAGTTTAGCACTTGCCCAAAATCTATCAATTCTGGGATAAAACTTCCCATCAGCTTGTATGACCAGAACCACAGGCTAATGTAGCATATGAAAACAGCCACTGAGTTGGACAAGACTTCACCCCACAGCTCCTTGTTCACCCTTAGTCCAGATGGAGACTACCCAGTTCATCCCTCACTCCAAACACACCTTGTAGGCTGACAACAGACCTTAGAGCAGCAATGCTGCTCCTTCACCAGGACGTGAGATGCACAAGAGGTGGGAGCACCAGATGCAAAAGGAAAGAATATGTTGATACATTGCCTTTCTTTTTAAAGGAGAATGGCTGTTTCTGACATTTGGGCTATCAGCATTTGTTTCAAAGGCATCAACAATTCAGCTGACAGAAATCCAAGCACTCAAGACCAAAGTAGTACCTGGCTTTTAACAATGGGCATACAGAAAAAAGTGCATTTTGTAAGGAACAAAAGCACCAGAAAACCTTCCTACTTACCTTGGTTGTTAAACTACCCAAACAAGGATAGGAACTTAAGAGTTCTGGGGGAATTTAAGAGCATTCACATGTACTGCCCATCCCAGACCATTATCTATTTAATTTTACCATACACAGTTCCCGAAATAGTTAACAACAAGAATAAGAAGGAACATTTGCTTCCATTAGGACCTGTTCCCCTGGGACCAGGAGCAAGAGAAGTGGGTGGGTCCGTGTGGGGAAGACAGAGGCCATGAAAGGATTCCTCCAACCCTTAACTGCTTGCAGCTGCTATCTGTGCCACAGCCATAAACAAGCCAGCCTTTGTCTGGGGCTGGCTTTCTGTGCTTTGCTCAAGAAGGGAAATATCACTCTGTCTAGACCTCCTTACAAAAGCACTTTCAATGCTTGCTGCAGAAATATTAACACTTCCCCAAATAAGAAAACAAAACTTTTACCATTTCATATGGGAACAAAGAAGTGGTTTTACAATTAAAAAAACACTAGAATTGGGATAATTGACAAAACAGAGTAAGCTTCTATTTACACTCTACACATTTTTTGCAAATAAATTCATTTCTTTGTCATAAAGGCCACAAAATGAAGAAAAAAAATCTGTCTTTTTAGCACGAAAAATAAATCTTACTTTCCTTCCTTTTGCTAATAGGTAGTTTTCAAACACCGCCTGAAGTCTACAGAGAGTAACTCCATTACCTTTACCAGGGAAAAAGCAAGAAAAAACAGTATTTGTGATGCTGTTTCTCAAGAACATCATGGGCAATGTCTCTGGTGACTCAGAATCTCCATGGTCAAATCATTCCCCATCCATTTGCTCACTTCCCACACAGGAGGACACACAGTCTTCAGGCTTCTGTACCATGAATGGCCCCAATTTCTCCACATGGCAACATGGACTATGTATATATACACACATGTTTCTGAATACCTGTATTTATACAACTTTTTCACTCACTTGCACAGCAGCACCAAGAATAGTTGTCTTACCTGTAAAACTGAACCATGCTGAAAAACAAAACCCACGAAGAATACCCAAAACTAGATGAATGAAAGGCATTACCTGTTGAAGACACTGAGGCTGGAGCCAACCACTTGCTGATATCAAATGTAACTTTTTTTTGCACAAGGGAGAATAAAGCTGAAAGAGAGAAAACAAAAAAAACCCCTCATTCTAAGTCAGTCACCTTCATGTCTGGTCTTTCATGGGGTTTTCGAGCCAGTCTCGCACTTCAGAGCTACTCAAAGCAAGGGGGAGCAAAGGGAACACAAAGGTTTATTCCAGTCACCAGTGATTAGTAGGAGCAGAAAGCACAAGCAGCAAGAGGTTGACTATTCCTCATTTGAAACACCCTCCTGGGCACAAGGGAGATTTTGAAGTCAGGTCAGCTCTCCGTAAAACTTTTTAGTTTTTAAGGATAGTGGGGCATAATTAGAACGGAGCAAAATAGTCAGCACCTAAAAGCCCCCCTGCACAAGCAGACACAGCAGATTCTTCCCATAGAAGATTACTTTTTCAGGAAAAAAAATTGCACAAAATAACAAATCTTTACACTTTTGAGCGTTGAGGAAGTTTCATGCAAAGTTAGGTCAAGCAATAGAAAACCAAGGAGAAGGGACAACACAGCATAACCCAGGAATACCTTTTCCAAGCCAGCACCCCTGACAAGCTTAGCACCTGCAGGAACCACATATAGGAGAGACTCCTGCTTTTAAAGTACCACTCATAGAGCTTCTGCTCCATTCAAAGGGTTCAAACAGCAATCACGTGCTGCATATCTGGAATCCACCTGGAGTCTTCCCTCCCGCCCAATTTCTATCCCGGTAATGAGTTGCTAATGAGCTAAGGAGCATCAGCTTTCTGCTGCAGCTGGTCACCAACCCCCGGCTGACAGGAGCTGAGGTTATTTTATTTCTGCCTTCCTTTTCAAACAACCGAAAAGACCCAGTAAATTCAAAGCTTAATTTGGTTCAAATTTGATTCAGTACGTGCTAAAATTAAGTATTTCAGAAGAAAGGATTCAGTCCCTCTTGCACTGCACTCCCTTTGGCTGTGCTCTCTAAGCCCCCTGCCATGCAAAGAGCCCTTCCTCACTGCTGTTTGTCCACCTAAATTATCCATGTGGGCTTGAGAAAAATTAACATTTTCCATGAAAACTCTGATTTGACCAGAAATTTCCAACCAGTTTTCCTTTCCCCTGAAAATATTAGAGGCGAACAACCATAACAAGAAAGAGCTTTCAGCTTCAAATCACACTCCTCATCCAATTCAACAATTACGTTTACAAAGCCATCCTATTTATTTTTAATTCTATTTATCCATTTATTTCTAAACCCACCCTTTAGAACTATCAGATCCTCTTATTACTATTTACAGTCCGTTTGATTTTAATTATCACTCATTTACAGGAAGGGCGTGGCCAATTTAAATTGTAATTTGTGAACTGACAACCCTCATTTACAAAGCAAAGCAGCTATGCAGACAGCTTTTTCACTATCCCCCCACTAAGAAAACCTGGAAAGGAGAAATCCAACAAATCCAAATGTATGACAGAGAGTTTTATTAGTTCTCCTGCATGCTTGGAACCATCACCCTTTAAGCAGCATGTCCCACTCCCAGGGAGGTGAAGGGCAAAATTGCTCATGTTTCAGTGGAGCAGAGGTTGATCACACAGAAGGGAAGGGAACCACAGATGATATTTCCAGGTTACTGGTCCAGGAGCATCCCACATCATCTGCTACACAGATGTGTCCAGATGTGGGGGTGGCAGCCTCCTGCTCCAAGGCAGGCACATTTTACAGGGAGACAGCTCCCAGGCAGGGCAGGGGATGGCAGCAGACCCTCTGAGCTCAAGAACTCCAAGGACCACTCTCTCCTCCATCAGCAGCTATATCATTATCTTTTTTCATGTAAAGCCTAAGCAGCTGCAAACTTACCAAGGTCAATAGATCATGGAAGCTATAGAGAGGGATTTTTGTTATTACTCTGCAGACAAAAATAATGCTCTACCAAAATGTGGTCCAAGAATGGCCAAAGGAAGGTTGCACACACGGCCCATCCTGTGCCTGCATGAGGAAAAGCGCTTTGGGACAAAAACATCTAGTGCAGTGATGATTGTTGCCAGAAGAACCTAGGAAATGCTCACCAGAGGGAGGGCTGAGGCCAGTGACTCATCTGGTGCAAGGCAAAATGACAGCTTCACAGTCACAAACCATTTGGGCTGCAAAGGAGCTTTAAGATCATCAAGTCCCACAGCTGACCGGGCATGGCCTCGCCCACCACTTCACCGTCAAGTCAGTTGTGCTGATTTGCAGAAGTTGGTGCTTTGTGTCTAATGAAGTTGCACAGACAAGTTTTCTCCATCACCATTTTTCCTCACAAAGACCTTGGTGTGTGTCCTCATCCTCCAGTCCCCCTCAGCTTGGTTGGAGGGTATATGATTTTAGCAACACTCCCCACCACTCCATGGAAGACAGGTGAAGTTTATCTTGGAAACAGGCATTTCCTCTCAATTATAATCAAAACATCAGGGGCCCTGGTCAGACAAAGAGACACTCTGGAACCCAATTTGTCACATTTCTCACAGACATCCTTGCCCATAAAACACAGAATGAAATGCCTATCAAAAAAAGTTACCATTTCTTGCTATTTTAATGGGTCTTTCAACATTTGGTTACTTTCCTAAACAGCCCAGCTTCTGCATAACATGGTAAAATACTGGCCCTGTTGTTAAATTCCTGTTCCTGTTGTTAAGATACATAATAAAGTTTGAGTCTAATCTGACATCTTTAAAGACATTCACGATTTCCTGAGCCAGCAATGGCACAAGAGTAGTATCAGACTCACAGGTCGATATGGATCAGAGGGGACTTCTGGGAATCATCTGGTGCAACATACCTTCTCTTCAGAGGAGGGGCTGCTCTGATCAGACACTTCAAGGCCTTGTCTAGGGAAGGTTTAATATCTCTAAAGCCACTTCAGCTATTTCAGGAAGCACAAAGACATCTCAGAGTTAATCCAGGGAGGCAGCAGAGTTAATGGAAAAGTATAGGGAAATGGATTGAATTGTATATAAGAAGTATATTTTTTCCTATCAACTCTCTCCAGAATAATGACCATGAAATTGTTTCCAGAGGGTTTATGGATTCATTGAGTTCCTGTGGCACATCGCCTCTGGATCTCCATACTGCTATAATCCAAGATTCTCCAAAGACCTGCTATGCTGTCAACACCTTTAATTTTACCGTTAATCTCAATTTATTTGGCATTTTCTTAACAGCTCAGCTCCTAAAGACATAGAGCTGTAGAACAATGTTGACTTTCATAGGAAAAATATCCCTGCTAGATTGTAGAGGAAAGCAGAACAGAGAACCTTAGAAATTCAAAGGCCACAAGTCAAAAGCTCCCCCAATTAATTTCACTGGTTCAACACGCAGTGAAAGCTGGTTTGCTACCGAGCCACATCGGATATGTGGATTCTCAATCATCTCCCCATTAGTGGAGCTTTCATAACATCTCTCCTGGGCACATTCAGCCCTACTCATACCTGAGCTCACACTTCAATCCTTCCTTTCAGTCACAAGATCTCTCTCTCTCTCCTACTCAACAATTTATTGCCGACACTTACAGCGACAAAATTATCTTTGACATTTCTGCCCTTCTGGTGAAGTTGGTTGACATCAGTCAGTGGGTTCAGAAGGGAGGGGAGAGGAGGGTGATCCTGTAAGGAAACAAAGCGTAGGCAGCACAGCTAAAACCACCTCACAGTTTGTAATCCAACCTGGTCTTTTCTAGGGATGTGACTCCCTCTTCACATGCCTGTGCTTGCAGCGTGGAAAGACTCAAAGCAAGGCTGAAGCCTAGAGCAGAATTTATCACAAGGAGGCTCAAATGTGAAATGTGTTATGTTTCAGCATTATTGTATAGGTGTATAGAGAGATAATGTAATGTTTTATCCTAGGGAGTGAAAGGGATGGAAAACATCGACCATTGATTTAATACATTAAATACAGGCATGCTCTAAAAGCAAATCACCCCATGTATTACTGAATTAAAAAATAAATATTGCAATGATTTATATACTGGTTTCCTGTTGCTCAAGAGACACTTGTGATGAGGTTTCCAAGGAAGCAGCATTTCACAAGCAGCCATCTAATTCTAGCTGGTGTGTCATGTTTTAAACAATACTTGTTTCAGAGCGTTGGGCTCACCACCCATTTGTTTCAACAATATTCCCTGCAAATCTTTCCCCCTTTTTGTCTCTGCTACCAATTCTGCCCTTCGTGTCTGAATGATATTTCTCTACAAAGAATGAGAAAACCAGTCTTTTCTCTGATCACTTTACTCTCTTTCCAATAAAACCCTATTTGCTTCTATTAATCACTAGCTATCTAATTAAGCACTGTCTTTAATGTCCTGTGGTTGGAAAGCAAGATATTATTGCCTGTTTTTATTCCCTTCCTGTGTGGAAAGTATTTAACTTTTGTCCTTATCTCGACCCCACCTTTTGCAATTATTTTTGCAATGTAAAAGACAGATTCCCAAATCCTTGTTCTCAGAAACTTGTAAGGGTCCCAAATCCGTGATCAGAACAATCTCTTGCTGCAAGAAATGGAGTAAATATCCCCCATTCTCAGACACATTGACTGGCTTTATACCTCTAACCGTTTATCCAGCATTTAATATAATTAAGAATCACTCCCTGGATTTTGAAGATCTCCCTCATCCTACTGCTCTGATCTCATCTTGTCTTGGTCCACCAGAGACTCATCTTATTACTTTCATTTGTCTTTCTGCTCTGCCTAATTCACCCCAGTGGAGGATTGTTGTTTCATTTGTGTGGGTCCGTCTCTTCAGGATTCTTTCTCCTGTTATTGAATCACTTCCTCTACAATAAACTCTATTTTTAAATTGGGCTGTATAAGAACTGATGGTAAAGCATTTTACAACATTCTCTTTAAAAGACCCAGAGGGGGAAAACTGCTGTATGACAGTATCTCTGAGTGTAAGTTGCTTGTCAGCAAGGGCTCCATTTAGAAATCATGTTAACGAAACCACCCAACTTCATAAAGACAGTTTTTGAGGCATTAAGTAGATCTCTGGTGGTCAAGAGCAGCTGAATGTATTCCAGCCCTAGAATACTGAGTAGGCTGTTTAAATGGCCTCTGAACTGCTAAATTACATGGCATTGTTTTTACTGAATGATTAAAACACTCCAACACCCACAAAGAACTTCCAAAACAGCTGAGCAAATGCTTTCAGAGGGTGTCACACTTTTTCCTTTCCATATTTGAGACATGCTCTTTTCTATGAATATACTGTTGTAAATAAAAATGGTCGGGGAGACGTTTGCAGAAAACAAAGGGAAGGGGTCACACAGCCCATCAAAGCAAAATCAGCCTGTTTTAAGCTGGGAGAAATGGCTCCCAGTTTCTCTTACAAAATAAATACAGATTGGTCTGTCTTTATGGCAGTGAGCACAACCCATGTTTGCTGTACTGTCTTCTGAGCAGGGTGGAGAGCAACGAGCCATCACCTAGAGAAGGGGGAGTACAGAGAAAAGAATAACACTAGAATAGAAAGGCCAGAAATCCTTCTGAAAACAAAGCACACCATTAGAGGAGAAAAAATTTCTATTAAACATAGATTCTGTACTATCTCAGACAGCAACGTCCCCTCTTATCTTAAGTTAGCACCATGAGGCCTAAAATGATGAGTGAGAACATTAATGCAGATGTTTTGTGAAACAAACTGAGACAGTCCTTGCCTTGAAGCATTCACTGCTTCAGTGTGGAAGGCAAGAGGCAAAGAAAATCCAGGCCCTAAAGAATTGTAGCAGAAGGAACACGAAAGGCACTGATTTCCCTGACACCAGTTAAATGTTCGGTCAACAACTCCCTAGTCTATTATTTTCGCACAGGAAGAGTGGATCTCTGTCATTTAATAAGTGGTTTTAATTTAAAACTATTCTTAATTCAAAATCTGAAGTGCTATTTTGTAACAGCACTTCAGTCCAGTCTCCCACCAGTGATGCCTTTGTATCAATAAGGACAGTAAGAATGGCAGCAGGGAAGAAGTGAGGGGAGGCTGTCCCAAGGTACAGGAGTGGCCTGATAAAGCTGCATTTCTGGGGCCACAGGTAATAAGGTCTTCCAAAATGAGCAGGTCCATGGATCAGGACAGGATTGCCAGCTGGGATATCCTAAGATGGGCATCAGTGTCACGCCTTGGCCATGCCACAGCACAGTCACAGTTCTCAGCTGTCTTTCATCACCATTTACAACCTGACAACGGGGCAGAGCTTTCCATACCTGCATGTTGCTGGAAATACTTGGTATTCCTGCAGCACTGGAAACAGGGCTGTGGAAGAGAGAGAGGACATTTTGGAAAAAAGTCTTTTGGTCTTCATCAGCTCCAACTGGTGCCCACCAGAACAGATTTGTGAAAAGGAACTGGCATCAGCTGAACATCTGGACACTGAACACCTGACTTTGCAGAAATAGAAATTACAGGAATTTTGATACTCACATGGCCAGCAGGAAAATAACCCCTCTTTGTACCTACATGCAGCAACAATGCCCCCTTCTAACAACCAGGGCCAACACTGAACTGTGTCAACATATGACTCAGAAGAGGAGGAGGAGAAGATGGAAAAACAGGCCAAAGAAAGGCAGGACTGCTGGAAGAAAAGCAAACAAAAAGCAGCAGTCAAAGCAGCTGTTCTGAGGGGAGAGTGGGCAACTTGGAAATATGTGGGATTACAGGGAAACTCACCTTTCATACTTCCTGATGCTCTCAACAAGCCCTGCTCACATTCTCTGATGGGGCAGGGGAATGAATAACATACTTTGGGATAATTAAGCAAACATGGGATGATTAAGAAGGTAAAGTTGCTCTCCCTTCGATCCAAACCACCATTCCCACCACCCCAGCTCAGAGCACATTCCATCCTTATTTTTCAAGTCAGCCCACTCCTGAACTGCCAGCTGCTTCCCTAAGCAGGGAATACAGCAGGTTCTGCGAGGGGGACAGAAGTCCAACCACGCAGGAAATGCATCAGGAGCTGATGAACCCCACGCAGGTAGGGGTTTCAAGGGAAGCAGCTCCATCCCACATGTTACCACTCCTAATTAATAGAGCAGGGCAAAAAATGCTGGAGAGGCTCATGTTTCTGCCACTCTAAAGATACTGAAAAAATAGAGACAGTTGCTCTTATTTGATGGCCTCCCCAAGACTGTAACACAGAAGCAGCATTTAAGAGATTCAGGGACATACCTGTGCAGAAAGGTGAAGTGAGCCCTAACTCATCAGAATTTCTTGTGTGTCACTGAGGTTTAGCACAGAGCAGTGTTTGAGGTAATAAACCAGCAATCTGACTTTCTCATCGGAGCAGACTTGCATCCAAGGCATGCCAAAAGCCCTGCATTTTCAGCATTTATTTTCATGCCAAATTAAACAAGAATATTCGTTTTCAAGATTCTGATCAAAACAGAAGCAGTCTGACTTTCATACCAGGTTTTTAAAGAAAATTTTCTTTAAATTTTGAAATTACCAAGATTTTTCTGCAATTTTGGGGAGATTTGATATTATTAAAATGCTGTATCTGACTGTCTATGAATCTTGTAGACATTTTGCTTACAATTCCAAAGTTCTGACTTTGAGGGTACAGTACCTTCCAACAGAACAATGTTCCATGAGGGCATTTGAGTCCCACAGATTCTCCCCCAGGAGTACACTCAACACCCAGGTGCACTTGGGTCATGTATGAATTAGAAGTAGTAGCTATTAAATTAAACAGAAAACAAAGATACGGATTCCTGAGGGGAATCATCCAAGACATTGCCCAGCCCTTTTGATGCCACCTAATGGCAAGGCTACAGGATAAAGTCCACTGAGGAGGTAGGAAATGTCAGTGGAAGGGGATCCTCCTGCTTCTCACGGGAGGCATCGCTCTGCATCATTGACTGTCTCTCGTTGTTACAAACCCCGTCGCACTTGTCACGAGCGTAGGAGTGAAAGCCCACAGCCCTGGCTCAGTGTCAGCTGGGGTTTCACCACAATTTCACTTGTGGTTTCAACCAGAAAAAGTTGCTGTTTCCCTCTTGTTCCTGTAAATGCTGCTATGCATTCCTCCTGATCGTGGCTACTTTCTCCTGAGTAATTATTTCCCTTGACTAAGTGTTTCCACTGAATAATTATTCTTAGTGAATAAGTAAAAGCATTTCAGGATCTTGCAGGATGGAGCTGTGGAGCACATCTCCCATCCCAACTGCGGAACAGCTGGAATAGCTGTACCCTTGGCCTCTCTCCTGACCCTTTCATCTCCAGGCTCTTTCAGAGCTGCCTGTGGTAAGAACAAAGCTCTCTAAGAGACACTTATGAATATTGAGGTCCTCAACACAAGCCTTTCTGAGGGTTTCCACCCACATTGTGTCAGGGAGGATGGCTCCTCTGGAATCAATTAGATTACTCCCAACTGCACCAGCTAAAGATCTACTTGGGTTATTCTCATTCCCCTCTCTCTCCCCAGCTCTGCAGCAAGAGGAGTTTCATGCCTCCACAAACACCCTTGATCAGGCCCTGTGTGAGGTACATCTTGCACTGCTTTGCCCTGCTTTGTCCACGCAACATGCTGGCTGTTGTAATGTCAAGGTATTTGCATTACCAGGAAAGTCTTGGGTGTGAAAGGAAATTTTAATTTCCTCCTCAGCTGAGCACTTTGCAATATGTGTTTTAATAAAACAGAGAGAGTCAAATTATTGCTTGTAAATGCCAATGCGCAAGAGGATTAATTAGGGCAGCAGCAGTCTGGCTGTGCAGCCTCTCTTGAGGGGTTTCACATGCTCAAGACAGCCAGAGCATGGAATCCCTGAACAAATGTCTCCTAAAACTGCAAGCTTATACATTAAATCTCTATGCAAAAAAATTGCTGCTTTTGAAATCAGACTCATGATGCACCAAGGGCCAAGTTTATCTCTGTTCTGACAGTATCATCCATCAGCCCTGAAGTCACTGGCAATCCCGATATCAGGGAGGTGTGACTGCCAATGTGTCTGTAACCTGGAGGAGATTACACAATATATTTTATAGCTCCCAGAGGGAATAAATCTTGAGGGGTATTAGGCAAGATGGCATAATAGTCCTGCTAATCTGCTCCTCCAGAGATTGGGTTTAGGCCAGCACCTAATGGTTTAGTAAAAAAAAAAAGAAAAAAAATGTAGAGGACAATCATCTGCTGTAAGCTTGGATCCAATAAATACCCTGGGTGCTTAATTGTGCATCGGTTTACACTCTGTAATCCCTCCACTGACACCTCTGTGCAGCTCAAAGGGCTGCCAGTCAGCTTAAGCTTTGGCAAATCCTTCAGCCAACTGGAGGAGTGAGACGGACGTCCTCTGTCTCTCAGAGCTCAGCATAAACTCCGGCACATCCACCAGGATTGAAAATCAGGACACAAAATCGGGAGGAAGTGTGGGGTGACAGGACAGGCAGGATGAGTGTGGCTCCAGAAGAGAAGAGCAGTGAACAGGATCTCGTGCTCGCAGGCGGCTGGAGTGGGTCAGAGGATGGAGGATGCGTCCCTGGAGGCAGTTTCCATGAAGATGCTGTGGTGTTTCTAGAGGCTGAACGTGCTCATCAGAAAAAGCACCACCATATGGGAATACAAAGTGAAGGGAAAAAACACTCCTGACTCATGCAAGTGAGAAAACAATTCCCACCCCTACCTGCCTGCTGGCAATGGATTTCTGGGAGTCTGCCATTCCAGGCTGGGCCAGCAACATGAGCCTGTGAAGCTCTCCCAGTGTGATTCAGCCCAGTTTGTTTTCAAAAGCCCCACATACACAAACACGTGTACAGGAGGCACGTAAACTGTGGTGCTGGGAGCCGAGTTGCTGGGTTTGTGCAGTTCAGCCAGAAAGAAAGGAATTCTTGTTGAAACTTGCTCTGTCTGTCACTCTGCATGTAGACTTCTAATATTTCTTGGGATGCTACGTCCACAGCAAGTAATCAGAATGCATGGGGAAAAAAAGAGAGACATTTGCACATAAACCAGTCTCCATCCTCCTTTGCTGCTGCACATTATTAGCACACTGAACTCAACTGCTGGTGCTCAGTTATAAAGTCTATCAATAAATCACTTCTTTGATCTCTTTCAAAAATCAAAAGAAAGAAGAGATAAGGTAGGATAAGGATTGCATTAAATATGATAATGTTTAGAATTTTTTCAGTCCTGAATGTTCTTTTTTCAGGGACTGACACTAAGCTAAAAATTCATATTATTCCAATTAAAACATGGTTCCCTGGTACAGGAAATAGAACATAACTAGGGCATTTGTGTGTGGCCAAAAGTCACTAAAACTTAAAAAAATTCAGTAAGAGTGTCAGAATCCAAAATGATCTTGACATCACGTCTGAAATCAATAACTTGCCATCTGATAGAGACAAGTGGAGATTGCTCAGTGATAAAGGGAGCTTATGTGGTTCAGCAGCAGAACTCAGGCAAAGAATTAAGGGATAAGAAAAACCTCAGACTATCAAAAAATCAGTGAGATGCTGGTGCCAAAAATTATAATTCTCATTTTGGGCTGTAGGAAGGGAGAAAAACAGTGAAATAATATAGGCAAGACTCAGAGGTTGATTCCCATCCTCTGCCTGATCAGCTGTGATGCCAATCCTGTTATTCGGAAGCCTTTCAACATGTTGTCTTGGGATAAATTGTAAAGAGTCTAGGAGGGAGCCATAGGAAAGCTGTAAAAGGTGATCAGACATGAAGGGAGCCTTCTTCAGGGAAAGGAGGAAGGAAAGAAGTAAAGGAAAAGAAAGAAGGAAAGGAAAAGAAAGAAGGAAAGGGAAAGAAAGAAGGAAGGAAAGAAAGAAGAGAGAAAGAAAAAGAAAGAAAAAGAAAGAAAGGGAGAAAGGGAGGAAGGAAGGGAGAGAGAGAAAAAAGGGAGAGAGAGAGAGAGAACGGGAGGAAGAAAGAGAGAGAAAAAGGGAGGAAGGAAGGAAGTCAGTCAAGATTAGTCACTCTCTGAGGCTGCTGGGGAACATCAACAAGGAGAATAATTTAGCACAGTTTTTAGCTCTGGTGGCTTAGGAAAACCTTTCTGCAATAGGAAAGTGCAGCCCTGAGAAGGGTTATTGAAGCAGTCTCCTTCACAGGAGGGGCCCGAGCCGAGGTCAGACCAATGCCTTCTGAAACACTCTACACCTCTGGCATATCCAAGCCCAGGATTGGAGCAGGTGATTTTTGGAGTGCTGTACCCTTACTTTGCAATGAGTACAAGCACCTGCAGCAACCAAGTCTACATCCAATTCCTCTCTGCAGGCAAGATGACTAATAGCTGAAGTCTTGAACTTCTTAGAGC